GCCATCCGCAACGGCCGGGCGGCCGAAGCGCGCGCGATGCTGTGGGGCCGCGTCGGGTCCAAGGCCGACGCCGAGTGCGAGGCCGCGATCAACTTCTTGGCCGCGATGCCGCCGGCGAAGCTCCGGCCCGTCCAGCTGCGGCCGGCCCGCGTCCGCGCCCGGAGCGCCCAGCCGCTCGTCGCGCCGGCCGTCGACTCGCTCGTCGGCAAGCGCATCGAGTACCTCGAATGGGTCGACTTCCCTGACGGCGGCGAGGCTATGCACTGGTTTGCGGGCGTCGTCAAGCAGGTCAGCGACGGCACGGTCCGCAACTTCAACTTGCAGCGGCGCAAGGACCCCCCGGCCAAGGCCTGCTACCAGGCGAGCTCCGCGAGGATCCTGTGGGACGCGCAGCCGGCCTTCGGCGAGCACGAGCCCACCGAGTCCTGGGTCGCCCTGCGGCCCAACAAATTCAACGGCGACCGGAGGTCCTGCTGGCGCCTCGACCTCGACTAGCGCGTCCCCGACGCGCGTTCCGCGGAAATAAAACGAGCTCTTCTCGTACCATAACTTCGCTCAATCCGGACGGACCCCGGACGAACCGAAACTTGTGTTCGAGTTCCAACGCGGGCTCCTCGGGATAGGCGCAGTCTCGGAGCTCGGCTCGACGACGGCAAAATCCCGGGTTTTCAGTGTCGCCCCCAATCGACAATGCGTCGGCAAGCTGGCTTCGTTGAAGCAGCAAAAAGCGCGCTTGCTTCACGATGCGCCGCGACAGTTTCCAATCGTCGCGCATCGTTGCCGCACACTAAAAACGACATCGCCAGCAGCACGCTCAAACACCATCGAAACCCATGACCGACGACGACNACGGCGGCGACACGTCGCCGCTCTACGACTACGCCGCGTCGCAGGCGAAGATGCTCTTCTGCGGCGACATGGGCGAGCTCGACCGGCCCAACGCGCCCGTGGAGCTCGACGACGACGACAACAACGCGCCGCCGCTCCTCGACGTCGGCGACCGGCGCGAGGCCGCGTGGCGCGCGCGGAGCCCGCCGGCGACGACCGACGCGCTCGGCGGCTCGAGCGATCCCGACAGCTCGCTGTCGTCGCCGTCCCAGTCGTCGGCGGCGAAGCGCGACCTCGCGCGCCTCCGGGGGCGCCTGAAGCAGCGCTCCGAGCCCGACGCGCTCGACCGGTCCTGGGCCGCGTCGC